AAATAAATAAATTGATTAATAAATAAATAAAATTAATATATGTATTTGAATATTGTTTATTTTATTTTATTTAATATATATAAATTATTTTATTTAATATATATAAATTAAAAAAATAAATAAATTGATTAATAAATAAATAAAATTAATATATGTATTTGAATATTGTTTCTATCATAAAGGGAAGTATGCTTGAAATAATAAATTTAATTTAAAAAAAAAAAATAATAAAATAAAATAAAGTAAATAAAGAAATGAATGAATAAATCTATATATAAATAAATAAATTAATTAACTTGATATATGTATATATATTTATATTTATATATTAAGTTAGCTTGAATAAATATATTACTTTTTTTTAACAAATTTTTTAATGATTTTAAATATTTCTATTCATGTCTGATTATATATCATAAAATAATATATAAATTTAATCAAGCAGTATATAAATCTATATATAAATAAATAAATTAATTATCTTGATATATGTATATATATTTATATTTATATATTAAGTTAGCTTGAATAAATATATTACTTTTTTTAACATTATTTAATGATTTTAAATATTTCTATTCATGTCCGATTATATATCATAAAATAATATATAAATTTAATCAAGCAGTATATACAGATATGAGTTAAATCGAAGATGATAATGAGTATATAGCGCCTTTAGGGACTATTCCTATGAATATGTATAGTATATATGTATATAAATGTGATTGATTTAATATATATATTTTTTATTATTTAAAAAATTCAAATATAGTACAGATATCTGTACTATTACTTATTTCCATCCTTTCCATTTCTCGTCCTTATTATTTTTAATCAATCTTATTTTTATTATATCTCGCAAACTTTTAAAATTCCACTTTCCTAATTATGCTCTAATTAGTTAATTTCCATGCTAATATAGTCTTACTTTAGTCTTTAGCCTTGCATGCCCATTTTCATTACAGCTGCTGAGGGTATTTGGAGTGGCGGCATCTCGAAGAAAATAAATTGTTGTTTTTCTTGCTTCTATGTACTTTTGCATTTCTTTGCATTCATTTGCGCTTTTCCAGCTAGCTGGGGGCTAATCAGCCGACGCTTTCGTTTCGCAATTCGCATTTAGAAGCGCTTCGCTCTGCACTAATTGCCAGTCAATGGATTTTTCGGAATGCGTTTCCTAATGAAAACTAAACAATTTCCACGCTCACATGCATTTCAATCAGTCTGCAAATACAAACAATGCAATTGAATCGATTTGGCACCACTTTTCCTCAGCGCCACGTCTAAAGGCGAAAGAGCCAGTGAAGCACTGTGTGTGTGTGAGAGAGAGAGAGAGAGAGAGAGAGAGAGAGCTAGACTGAGTCGAGTTGAATTGGTTCTAGGCAGAGCTCTAGCTATAAGCCGCTTAGGCAGCACAGCGACCTTTACGCAATCGCCTCAGCAGGCGGCGACGATTTACCTCGATTGGGTTTCCCAATGCCAAGGCGATTAATTTCGGGTAATTACAATTTAATGAAAATCATTCAATTGTGCAAATTAATGAAAATGTCTGCACAGTTTAAGCCAAAACCATAAAGCAGCCAACACGGGCCACGGGTTAGCACAGTTTTGGCCACAGTGGGCGTGCCGGTTGCCTAATGCCCCTTAATTACTCATGCTAAGCTCAATTGAAACTCAAAGGGCGCACGCAAATCCTATCATTGACAAACATACACAACACACACACACGCTCACAGATAAATTTACATATGTATTTACCCAAGGACGAATTCATGATCATAATTCGTTGTTGGTTGGCTTTGTGAACAGCTGCATCAGTGGAAGTCTTATGGCCTTGCATTAGACTAGGTTCTGATAGAGTAGATTCTTTTAGAGTCGACTCTTCTAGAGCAGAGTCTGCTACAGTAGTAGACTCTTCTAGAGCAGAATATGCTAGAATAGTAATAGAGAATTATTGATTCAATGATAATCTCATATATATTTGAATATTTTTTTCTACTTCTAGTTGCTTGCCCTACCGAGAACCTTTTGACTAGCTTTCACGCACTGTTAGCTCTGGCTGCCACCGAAATGGGAGCAGCTGGCTAGCCGCATTCAGGATTTTAAGTTTCATGATTTTCAGGTTTCTTCCTTTTATGTTGGTTAGTCTCTGCTGGAGCAAACCAATTAGGCAGCCCAGCGGATACGAGGCCAACAGCAATGGCTTTCGTTTTTCTTGACCATTTTCGTTTGTTTTTGTTTTTATTTATTTTTTTTTTTTAGTTCTGCCGAGGGTCGCTGTTGCTTTAAACCAAGTGCGCTTATTGGCTCAGTTGGCGACGAGCGCAATTCCACTCTTTCCGTCTAGTTGGCTGTCTAACTGTCTGTCAATCCCTATGTATGCCTGTCTGTCTGTCTGTCTGTCTGCCTGTCTGCCTGCCTGTTGGCTTTCATCCATCTCAATTTACTGCGTAAGGCTTTTGTCAACGGCAAGAAAATTGCTGTCAAAAATTGCAATCCCAAAAGAGGGACAAACAAACAAAGGGACAGCAAAGAGGAAGAACAAGATGTACACACATATATATGTATATATATAAGCCGTCTCGTCTGGCTAGCAATGGGCCAAAACTAACTGGTAAGCGTAATGGGCAACCGGCACGGTAAGCGGGCCTGGAGCTGGCGCTATAACTGTAACTGCTGTTGACCCAATATTGTGAACACAAGAAATCTAAGCTCCAGTTGAGTGAACGAATAACAAATACTCTGTGAGTTATTAAAACATGCATATATTTAATATAACGAAATGGAATATTCAGGTCAATGGTAAATGCATTGTTTCATTATTGAATATGTTCATAACATGGACATGAAGAAGACCTACTTTTCCTAATATAAGACGAGCCTTTTTAAATAAAAAATATAACCATTAGCAAACTGACGACGGATTGAGAGACTGACGAAGGGGCAGGTGCGCAGGTCCAAATCGACTGTCGCCCTGATCAAAGATACATATATTCCTTATGGTCTGTCACGCTTTCTTCAGCCTGCTATATATATTTGAGAATTTAATAATTCTCTGATTTCTCCCATTTTGAATGAATTCAGTCTAAAAGAACTGAGTTATCGATCAAAAAGAATAATTATCGATCTGTGCAGTTACAGTTACAGTTACAGCTATCTGCTCTATCTGCCTATCGATACCGAGCATACGCATCATATTTACTCAAGGCCATCTCATCAATATTATATTCCATGTTGTTCGATAAGACATTAATATTCTGTTTTCCTGTGTGTTACATATTGCCTAATGAAACTAATATGCCCTGTCACTGGACTGCTGGCATACAGAGCGTGTGAGCAATGCTTAAATGCTTTTGGTGCGCAGCTGCGCTTGTGCGTTCTGAGTCTCAGGACGGGTCA